GGGGGCACGACGTCTATTCGGTGGCGACGGCAGGGTCTTGGCTTTGATCTCGCCGGACTAAGCTCAGCTCATCACGTGGTCGGGCCTGAAGCTGGACAGCAGGTGCACGCAGCACACCAGGACGACGTGCTTGGAGTTGAGGCTGGTCGCTGGTGCAACGCATGATTGAACTGAACTCGTAAGTAACAGTTCTTTCTTCGATATATTACGTAAGCGTCATTAATTCAAATGAAGTACTTTTTTTTTATTTGAAACGAAAGTAGAGTTAAAAGTAAATCATGATATGATTCTTTTTTTGTTTTGTTTTTAAGTTGAAATGAATTACGTAAGTGCTGTGCTAGCTTTCATATCCTGTATGTGGTGCCCCGCAATGAACTCGGAACTGGGGACGAAGAGTAATAATTGGTCGTTTTTTAATCTGCCACTCAGAAGGGCTATCGCCTCAGTAAAAAAAAAGATAAACATTCTTTCTTTTTTTGTTATCGAGCCGAGGTGATTATTACAGCATAATACCGACCACCTTTCTTATTGGTTGAACTGACTAAAGTAGCACCGGTAATTGATATTTCGAGTTCTTTGTGTGCAGCATACATGCAGGAAGGTTTGAAAAACATTTGATATTTTTGCATTTTTTTTTTATTAAGTATAACTTTTAGAGGCAGTGACAGGTTTTCAATCATATAATTTGTTTCCATGGATTCGGCCTTTCAATGGCAGAACAAAATAAGCTGAGAGAATCAAAACATACGCCTTGCGTATTGCGCACATCGCTAAACCCTTCTTTCGAGACGGCTTCCAGAAACGTCGCTGTGGCCAGTCTTTCATAATTGGTCAAACCTTCAATAGGACGTCTTTATTAACATTAATCACTGTTTCATCGTCAGAAATAAGACCAATGTCAGACAGTCAATTTCGACAGTGTTGATTTAAGAACGTTATGACTATATGATTCCAAGAATAAATAAAAAATAACAAAAACGACGAAGATAGGACAAGCACGTTTTGTAAATAGTCAGAATGTTCGTGCTACCGTGGAAAGGTGACTCGTCCTCTCTTTGTTCTTTTTGTTGCATTCTGTTTATTCTTGCAACAAGATTCTGCCGTTCATTATTTACACACTGTCGAACCTTTCGTTTGCAACTGGTTATCTTGCTCGTGACGTCACCAAGGGTAAGAACTGAAAAGGGGCGCCACCGAGGCGTCTCGTTCGATATGCCATCTGACGCTTCTGCAAATTTGATCAATCAATTAATTAATTAATTAATTAATCAATTTTATTTGTAAGAGGCACTGACTCTTGCGGTTTTTCATGGGAGGAATACGGCTCTGCCAAGCTTCATTATCACTTTATCTTGGGAGAGTTCCTTGAGGACGCTTCAGCGCGTAGGCATTGGACTCCAAGACACTTGATCGCAGGGACCTTCCATACCACTGGAATTTTTTTCGCCAGAAAAATGTGTAATTATAGAATATAGGCATTTTTTTATGTATGAAACATTTGGTGTTTATGTGATGTCAGTGGTCTGGAGCGGTTTGGAATGGGATATTTTTGAGAAAACCGTTTTGGGGATTTAGTGAGCGGACTTCGAGAAATATACTGCTGCACGAGTGGTACCTTGAGTGCCCCACTGCGCTTCCCACGAGCTCAAAGTCTTTCTAAAAATTAAGAATTTAGTGGTTTTCGACGACGCTCAGCAAGTTCCTATTTGGAATCGCAAGTTTATTCTTACTAATGAAAAAGTGATTTAACGAATTTTAGTTAATCGTTCGACTTTTAGTACCGATTAGCCCCTATATTATCTGCCCCTGACCGTATATAACTCACCTGTACGTACCCCATTGGTGTAACTTTCACGGTTTTTATAAATCAAATCTGCATAGCCTAAAAGCAGTAGTTGTCAGATGTCCGGAAGAGTCTTTGCAGACTGCGAAAATATTTTACTAAGAGTAAATTTAGCTTATACTTTAAGTACTTTATACTTTAACTTTAAGCTGGCGTTGTATAAGAGACATTGGTGCCATGTTTTAAGCGACACGCAGTCTCAGTGACAAGGAGGCCCGTCCACCGCCTTTGCTACTGAGATCACGTGGGCTCGGCTGAACAGATGGACAGCATTGGCAGGTGGCGTGTGACGTCGAGTCTGACGAGCATTGACTTCACCAAAAAGCGGAGGAAGCGAGGAGGAAAGTCGTGATGTTGGCTCGGTGGTGTGCAAACAGACATCGGACTGCCGGACTGCCGGATGCTTCAACTTTTACACGTGTCTCCTCACGTTTTATGAAGTGTCCTGTTTGCACAGGCCTTTACGCGGTCACGTGCGAGAGATCAATCAGGGGTCAAGAAAAGCACGGGTGCACGTCTTGTCAATTCTTGATGTTGATAGGCGATTAGTCAAGGCCCGGACCACGGCGGCCCTGCTGCGGTCACTGCTGTTAACGCAGCGAATCCACGTGTCTGAACCCCTCAGACTCCGTTCGCGCTGGATAGAGATGAATGAATTTGGGCATAGCCCTTCCATTTAGCTGGTGGCTTAATTAGCTGCCACTGTATTATACAAACTTTACCCCGTGATTTTTGTGCCTCCGCAATCAAATCTTTCCGGCTCCATCAAATCACCTCCCTCACCATTGCCCAGCAGTGCTCCAGACTTCTTTTTGGGGTACAGTGAGCGACACTGTTAGCGCGAACACGACATCGGCGCTTTTTCTTTTCTCTTTTTCCCATTTTGCTCAGACAGTTTGTTAACGTGCACCAGACTTCACCGGATAGGTTACTGCCCTGAATGAGGACTTTCCGCGACGCTAGTAATTTATATCACAATACTTTAATTTAGACAAAAAAAAAAAAGAAAGAAAGAAAGAAGAGACTGGCTATTACTTGTTTGCGCTAAAAAAGTCGCGATGTATACTTCACCCTTTGATAAGTTTGCTTTTTCTCATCTCCCCAAATTCCATCGCAGCGAATAGGTCCGACTCGTTCCTTCAGAGTGCCGAGCTCCGTACATTATATGATGAATAATATAGCTAAACCCATTAAATCTTGTGGCGGCCAAGTATTAACTTTATTGTCTCATTAAAAAAAAATCAATTTTTGTTGATGAGACATTTCCTGGCAATCGGGCTAACAAGATTGCCCTCGATTTATGCCACCAGTTAAATAAGCTCCTTCTTGTCTACATCCTCCCAATTTAAGAAACAGTCACGCCTTGGACCACTGGAAGGTGAAGTCCTTTGCAACAGAGTACAAGTGCTTAGCCGTCTCATCCTCCTCTCCACACGCTCCGCATGACTGTGTCTGTGTTTATCTCTTCTGTAATCAAGCGGTGTAGTCCTCAATACTCCAGTCCTGGTCCAACAAACAACCTCCACTAGAACTGTAATAAATAGTTTTTGTTGCAATATCCGTCTTGAACAATCTGTATACGTCCCGATTGAGTCTGCTTCCTTGCTTCCCACATATCTATCGTAGGCAGGCCCGTAGGCAGGAATTTGTTTCGGGGGGGGGGGGGGGGGGGGGGGGGGCGCAATTTCTGATGCCACGACTTCCAAGTTCCAAGCATTGGAAAAAAGAGGGGTGGGGGTGAGGGTGGGGGGATGTTTTAGGGATAAAATGGCATCAGTCAAGCCGCCGGGGCCCCGAGGTCTTTCTGAGCAAAGGAGACGATGAGCCTATGATTTGCGGGCTCGTCACCATTCGAAAGGCTTCTATAATCTCCCTCCCGACGGCTTCTATAATCTATATAGAAGATCTATAATCTATATAAATCTATATATCTATATAATATATAAAAATTATAGAAGCCGAAAGGCTTCTATAATCTCCCTCCCGTTCACGAAGATTTACCAGCATCATCGCGAGTCGGGAGCGCAGCCGCGACATTCTCGTCTTTGCCTGTCTCTCGGTTCCTGATCGTTGGGTGCGGCGTCCTCTACATCTTTGTGAAGCTTCCGGAGCTGGTCGTTTACGCAGCGACCCGTTTGGCCGATGTATTCAGCGACCGCACGACGTGGGCCTGAAAGGTTATGCTCAGACTTGCACGTGGCGAGCCTGTTAGCATGTTTCTTGGAGGAGCGGGGCGGCGGGATTGAGTACCTTTCTTTTTACCGTCTTGCACCACAGGCCTCCCAGCCTAGATTTTCATGTGAAAACTACATCTGTGTCAAATCTGGAGACTATGGACGTAAACCGGTGCGCCATCGTGCGCACGTACATAGCTCGAATTAACGTGCTTGTAAAAAGCAAGGAGAAAAAAAATAGAGCCTTTCACTTGACCTCCACGATACCGTCCTAAAGCCGCCGCCCCCCCCCCCCCCCCCCCTTTCTGGCTACGGGCCTGCTTGTGGTATATCCCCTATATTACCCATACAATTTGCAATTTTCAGCGATATAGTTGCCGTCTCGCGGATATCGAATGAACTACTTCCAGGGGCCGTCGCGACAAGCGCCTTTGGCCGAAAGTTTAATTTTCCCCGGAAAACTATACAATATTGTAAACTTTCTCGCGTTTCTGAATGTCTGAACTGGAGAGACAGAGACATTTTTGATGCGCATGGTCTGGTGCTTTTTGGCTCTTGGCAACACAGCAGTAAGCTTTATACTAATTCCCTGAAAACGAAAAGGCATACGTGGGCAAAGCCGGGGAAAGTTGCTAAGAGTGCGTAAAAATCTGTGACAAACTGCGCGGCAAATGGTTTGACCTGCGTGAAACCCCAGTTAATTGTCTAACAAAAAGGGGTTTTCAAGGCTGTCCTCACTTCGTTTGAAATAGCACTAGTCTGATTTAGAGCAACATGCGATTTGGGATAAATCGCAGGCTTCTCCGCTTACAAAATTAACCAATTAAAAGAAAGGTCTAGTTGAACGACAGTGACCCCCGTAGGGTCATTGGAAAGTACAAATAACAACGGACCAACCAAGATCTGGGGGAGCATTTCGATGAAGCATGAACTGATTTGAATTTTTTGATCGATGGTGATTTCAGACTCGCTTCAATCGTGACATGGACCCCTCAGAGGAAGACCTCATCCTGTCCCTGATCGAGGCCGACGTGGGTCCTGGATCCCGCGAAGCCATGGCCGCCGCGGTCTCCAAGGTCCCCTCCGCCGGGGACAAGGCGTCGGAGCTGTCCACCTCCGCCAGCGTCGTGCTCGAGGACGTGGCGCTGTGGAACAAGTTTAGTCAGGTCACCAACGAGATGATAGTCACCAAGTCCGGCAGGTCAGACTTCCGTACACTGAACGCGAACTCAGAGCTTTCTGCCCGTACAAAAAATCTTTAATTTCTTTAATTATTTATTTGTTCAAGTAGACATATTCCCCAATTCTGGGAAATATGTCAAAAGGTAAAGCAATGAAAAAAAAAATAAACGAACGAAAATACAAAGATAAACAATGAAATTTGTGTGATGCAGAAGATTCACATATAAATAACATTTTACAGTACTTTCAACGCAAAAACAAAACAAAAAAGGAGGGGGGAGGCATTATTAGGCGATTAAGGCCGTAATTATTCTAGCAACAATCTTTGCAGGATAATAAAAAAAAATGAGAAAGATGTAGGAACAACTTCAGCTGGCAAATTATTCCAATCGTGTACGGTTGGAGGAAAGGAAGTGTACTTGAAAATGTTAATTCTGCACTGGAATTCGCGCACCCTTAAAGGGATGCTGAACCGAAATCTGGATTCCCCAAAACACGCGACAAAAGCGTGCAACGGGATGCTAAAAACACCAAAACATCACTCATACAGCGATATCTCAAACGGATTACCGCATTTTTCAAAAAAAAGAGGCGCATTTGGCAGGAATGTTGACGTCATGTTTCTCCGAGAAGGAGAGGGAACGGCCTCGCGTCTTCTCCGCCTCGCGGCCTTGAGGGAGCGAAACTGGCGAAACGAAGAGAAGAGGAAACTAGGTATCTTGACGTCACGCGCCTCGTCGGCCTGGTTCAATCTCGACTTCTTTTTCCCAAAATACGGCCGTCCATTTGAGATATCGCCTTACTAGTGTTGCAGAAATTGCAGCGTCCCGCCTACATCTCCAGCATTGTTTTTTTGAAATCTAAATTTCGGTTCACCATCCCTTTAAAGTTTAAAAGGATGGTGAACCGAAATTTAGATTAAAAAAAATAATGCTGGAGAAAAAACATTGGTGTTCCATGAGAAGTCACTAGAAAACACAAATCCCCCCCCCCCCCAAAAAAAAAAAACAAGAAAAAACAAGAAAAAAACCAGAGAGCCCAGATGGTCATGTGATTGCGACCCTAACACGGCTTGTTTTCGAACTAAATATATTTGAATTTAACAATAAATATTTTAGACAGGTTAGCGGTACCGCAATGGAAACCAAGATGGCACCCAGTTATTAACGGAAGAAGGGGCAAACATTCTTTCGATGTTTTGCTCTGTCGGTTTCCTTGACGCGCGCGGCGCTCCAGGCAGGACGGGACGACAGTCCTGCCTGGACCTTCGCGGGGATGCAGTGGCTCGTTGGGTGCCCATCAGTCACGAAGACGTCGCCCGTTTACGGCCCATTGTAGCCACTGTTGTGTTGTAGGCGTTCAAGCGCACTTTGTATTGCGCCTCCCTGCAGGAGGAGCGGGCTCAGGTCAAGTTGTTTGCTGTAGAAACGCGTACCTTGCTATTACACTTCTTTTTGAGTTTGTGTCGTTACGTCTTTTTTTTTTTTCAGTTTTCAACTTTATTTCCGCCAGCGCGTGACTTCGTTTTTTTTTTCTCTTATTAAACGTTTTACATACACATATTTCCGCAGCGATATGTCCTCACTTGTAGGTCATCTCCTGTCTCTCGGCGAAACTGTTGATTAAACATCCGCAGTTTGCTGTTTCTCACCGTGAGTTTTTGACTTCGTTATATATATGTATTATGAAGACAGTTTTGTCTTTAAACGAGAAGAAGGCTAGTGTTTGTGCACCTTTATTGGATTTTAATGCACGGAAAGACGTCTCTATCGGTAAAGGTAATAACGCGAGCAGAGTTGGAGTCGCTAGGGTGGGAAGACAAGCTTTCTCCAAGTCCGCTACGCAGGCGATTTTAACAAAATGCAAATGTACTCCCGAGTATTTTGGGACATCGACATGCACTGCAAAAATACAGTGCGTTTACCCGTTTATTGCAGAAAGTGCTAAAAGCAGGCACACGGTAGGATGCAACCCTTCCTGCGTGTTACTCCGTTTACACTTGCACTGCGTACTTAACACTTGCAACGGAGTACGACCGAGAGAGACAAGACCAGTTTTCAGCCTCTTGCGACGGCGTAGGACCAGATGCTCTGCTCCGGAGCAGGTTGTAAGCCGTTGCAAGAGGCTTAAAAACCGGTCTTGTCTCAGCCGGTCCTACTTGGTTGAAAGTGTGTGAACGAGCTTTAAATAGACAGTTTTAGTGGATCGCATACAGAGACTGCGTTGCTAGCGGGAGCTCGTGCCGTCGCTTTGAGCATGGATTGAGCACGCGTCCGAAAGGCCCGCAATCCCTAGCTTACGCTATATACTAAAACATCCTACACTCTACCTCAGGAATTGCGTTCAACAAAGGCAAAGGCTTAGGCGCGGGTACATGGCTTTCAGATTTGCTTTCCTTTCGCGAGTACTCGTGAAAAGAAAGCAGATATGAAAGCGACGTGGTCGCCTTCAGATTTGCACAGCGCGCCAAACCCATGACTTTTCGGTAATTTTTAGCATAACCCATCGTTTTAACAAACCAGCAGCATCGTACACATTTCATGAACACCGAATACTACGTGCAACTGTGCACATGCGGACGGATGAATATGCGACGTCTGCTATTAACGCGTCGAGTGCATTTAACTAACCATCGAATACCCTCACCTCCGGCCCTCGGAGGCAGTTTAAACTTTTCCGACCAATCTGGTGGAGTCATGGTGATAATGCAATTAAATGAAAAGGTGTAAGCGCTTTGGACAAGAACAACGAAAATATTCCCATTGTCTTCGCCGCTGAAGATTTTCTTTTCTCGTCGGGGTAGCAAAAAAAAAAAAAAAAAAAAGCGTCTTCCCTTTCGCAACCCTGTTCTTACAATCCACAGCGCGGCAAGATGACATCGCAGTGCCACCAACGCCTTAGTAAAAAAAAAAAAAAAAAAAAAAAAAAAAAATTACGGTTGGATTGTAGGCAACGGAGCCACAAAAATGGCGCCGGTTCAGACTTCAGAGCAGACCATCGAATCGCGTGGGATCATGGGAAGGTAACGGTCACGTGTCGCGCCCGATCCAATTGAAACGAGGGGAAATATAAACTTTTAGAAAAAAAAGGGTATGGACCAGGAGGAATTTCTCTTCCTTATTTTAGACAATGGTTTGCTCTATACCTTTCAGTACATAGGAAACTTAAAGGGGCCTTGCAAGGACCATTTTACTAGTTTTTAATTTGCACCGAACCTGAGCGCACTGAACGTATATAGTAACTTAATGAAACTTTTCTTTTCTCGAATTGCGCATTATTTTAAAAGTTATAGGCATATTAAAATTACAGAAACAAGCAAAAAATAACCTCCTTCATGACGTTCTTGGTCGCTTGAGTGTTGAGCTCAGCGAGCGCTCACGGCTGCCGCACTCCGTGTCGACGGCTCGAGAGGGCGCCACAAAAAGCATGTGCTAGATAGGCTGTATGAAGGGGGGCGGCCAGGGCGGCTCGCATTCCATTTGCTGCGCGATTAAACACTAATTCGGCATGACACTTCAGTGGCCACGAACGACAGCAAACACGGGGTAAAGATCAGTCCAGAACGGAAGCCACTTCGCGCTGCCATACCGCCAAACGGCCAAACCGCAAGCCAAACCTGCTCGCCGAAGGCCTTCGGAACGCTCGGAACCGGTCGGATCCTTGAGCCCGTATAAGACCGCAGCGCCGCCGCGTACATCCGGGGCCTTTCTACGCTCGCCGCTCGTCGGTGCTTCATCCCACTACCCCTTTCTAGTAAGCGCCGCCTTTTTCCACCGCTTGGTGGTAAGTACGTCGACGGGTCATTTCTTGTTTCCGTACTTTATAAACTGCATTTGTCTAGTTTATGGTATAAAATACTCAACAAAAACTACTTTCTTAAATAATTGAAACGGTTAGCGCCTTTTATATTTTGTATTTCGTCTAAAAAGAAGCATTTAGCTGCTCTGACCAGTAGTAAGCCCAGGACCAAAAACGTCACATTTTGCGCGCTTTCGGCACCGCGGGTCGCCCCCGTAGTTGGAGGAGGTTTCCGCCTCGTCCAGTTAAAATGTGATTCACTCATATTTAGTTACTCTCTCCGTGCCCGGGCTTGCCTGAACCCCAAGAAATGTGGAAACCGCAAACAAGGTAGACGCGTAAATATGATTGCAGTGCCCCTTTAAGTATCACAAGAGCCATTTCAACCTATCACAAGGGTGATCGGTATCATAATACAGTGGTCACGCGGTGCCTGCCACTGAGGCTGCATGACCATTGGGCCATGATACCGATGACATTTGATAAGCTGATTAAAGACCAACGACTGGTGTCTCGAACTAATCGTGGGTGTTCGCCCAGAGGATTCTTATGCACCGTTCACACACTTTCAACCGAGTAGGACGGAGAGAGACAAGACATGTTTTTAAACCTCTCATGACGTCTTAGGACCAACTCCGCAGCAGCGCACCCGGTCCTAAGACGTCGCAAGAGGCTTAAAAACCGGTCTGGTCTCTCTCGGTCGTTCTCGGTTACAAGTGTGTGAGCGAACCGTGTGTTAAGTAGTCCGTAAGCTACACAGTCGAATATCGTGTCTTCTAACTAAAAACTTCCTTCTCGCTCTTACATTGCTGGAGGAGATGCCGTGTTCAATGGAACAGGGAACTGCATCATCACTTTACTCTGCGGGCGATACACCGATCCCTCGGTCGTTCCTATGAACCAGTGGTTGTAGCCTTCCCTTTGGTCCTCTGATCGGAGCAGACGGAATGTCATGGACAGTTAAAGAGAAGCGGGGCGGTGTCTTAATGTTCATGCTTCTTGATTCATTATTTCCCATTCTTATTTTCTAATGCTATAACATCATTGTGGCGATAATAAGATTTTTAGAAATCGCGTTTCTTAAGTGGCCAGGGGCTACAGACCTTTAAAAAAATCGTCTTGTGCGCGCTGCCATCTTTGTCTGCTGGCCTGTGGAGCGCTTTCTGAGCATGCGCTGTAGCTCCGTTTATCAGACGCTGCGCGTACGTCCACAGCTCAATG